TATTTATCAGTTTAGATTATTTTTTAATGCTTCGCTAACTATCAGAAGACAGTAACCGGTTTTAAATTCCAGTTGCGCAGATGGGGCACGTTGTAACACTGCGTTACAATGTGCTATTCTATGACATTAGCGATGTAATTTACACTATTTACTTTAATGAATTTTAATGAGAAACAGGTGAATAAAGACTGACAGTCAATGTTTAATGTTAAGAAATTATTGTTTCAAGACATGTAAAGCATTTTGGCTCGTTTATGTGGGCCGTCCCAAGCATGGTTGCAATGTGTTCATTGTCAAACTCCAAAATCAGATTATTTTTAATTCTTAAAAAACGCCATTATTTTATTTGAAATAAATAATTATTTTATTTTGTTTACAAAATATTTTAGTTTGTCTTGTATATTTTTTTCATTCGATCAGATAACATTTTAAGCTGTTATATGGTCATGTTACAACGTGCCCCTCAGATGTTACAATGTGTTCCACCTACGGGGCATGTTGTCACATTTCACTTCCAATTTTTGAGGGTAAATAAAGAAAAACGTATACACTGTAATTATGAAACAAAGCGACATATTTGTACTAGACAAGTGTGAAATTACTGTGGATAAAAAAAATATACTCTGAACCCCATGTGGATTTACACAAACTGAGAAAGTCAAAAAGTGTTACTTTGTGCCCCGCTCTCCCCCTACTCTGTGCGTTCGTCCCCTGACTAATAAAATGCATAACATATTAAAGTGTCTTTGGGTTTTCCATGTTTTCAACAAAATAAAAGCGGAAAAATCGAGGGGTTATGACCAGTGCTTAATTTGTAAGTGAAACATTGCCGGATCCAAATCAGCAGTTAAAAGGCGCCGTGACCGACACTGACAATACAACTTCAGTTTTCCCGGAACATTCAATGACGTCACTAAACGGTGATGACACAACTATAAGAGCATCGTTCACAAGTTTCTGCATGGACCTAACTATACAGCCTAGGTTTTCAAGCCCTGTGTCAAAAATGGGTCGCCAGGATGATTAAGGCAAATATCTGTAAGTTAGGCTACATTAAAAATAACAAAAATTGTTTCCATAAAAATAAAATACAATCATAATCTATATAGAAAATGTATAAATATGCAAAATAGGCCTATATCTGACATAAATAATTAACAGATATAAAACAGATGTGAGGCGCGGCGATCCGCTAACAATTTCACGGAAAGGAAACCGAGAACCGAGATGACAGAACGCGCATCCTGTTTGTTTGCTTAATTACAAAAACACGGAATGTTCTTTTTATTGCGAGTGTGCAAAAATAAAAGTAAATATTTACATTTACATTTAGTCATTTAGCAGAGGCTTTTATCCAAAGCGACTCACAAATGAGGACAATGGAAGCAATCAAAACCAACAAAAGAGCAATGATACGCAAGTGCTAGCCTATAACAAGTCTCAGCTTAACATAGTACACATAGCAATGTTGTTGTTTTTTATTATATAGGCCTAATAAATAAAATGAAAACAGATCGAATAGAAAAAGAATAGAGCAAGCTATAGTGTTAGAGGCCTTTTTTGCTTTTGTTAATTGTATAATAAATAAAAAGAAAAGAAATAGATAGATAGAATACAAAAAGAATAGAGAAGCTAGTGTTAGTTTTTTTTATTACTTTTTTTTTTTAACACTTTGCGGATTGTTTTACTCTTATCTGTGTGATCAAAAATGGAGTAGGCTATATGTGTCAGCTGTTTGATCGCGCCTCACACACACACACACACACCACACATTCTAGCAATTCAAACTTGCCATCGCAGTCTGTTCATTATCAAAATAAAATACAGTCAGCCAAACATATCAATTTAAAGAGTCCGTAGTAGTATAACCGGTCTACAGCTGCTGTTATGCCAAGTGCATTTTTGCGTATGTGAAGAGGATGATTTTTTCCGTCGATATGCGAACGCGCATGAAGCCTACATTATGAATAATAGTTTAACATTGAAATATAATTGCGAATATGGAAACATTGGATTTGTGCCGAATGAGAGAGGTACGTGAGCCCAACGGTACTTTCAGTTTCGCTTTGTTTTGGTTTCTTTAGCTTTATATTTTTTTCATTCTTGATCTGTTCTGCATACCGTTACATTTAAATGATTTGTTTTGGAGTGAGGGGAACTAGGCTATGATTATAGTGTTTATAATGTTTATACATTATAATATTTCACTTTATTTGGTATTATTTCTGGTATTTCTGGTATTATTGCACTCTCTCCAAACGGTCCGCTGCTCACAGAAGAGTGGAGAGAGTTGGTTAAGCAGTAGCACCAATCAACGAGAGCGATTTTGAATTTAAGAAAGCTGATTGGTCAATAATATGGTAAGGACCAATACATAATCTACAAATCATGCTCCAAATACATCTACATAAACCCGCAATCTCAAAGCGCCGCCATTACTGTCTAGAGTGCATGGAATGGTGCGCTGTGATTGGTTGAGCGGATATATTGCATTCTGCAGAGAAGGGAGACTGGCGTTTGTCGCGGTTGGGAAAAAAAGGGAGAAAATATGACAGAATAACTCGGCAGATATCGCATTTTGCGTAAAATTAAAAATTGAATTTTCAATACCGACCAGATACAATACTGATTTTGGCGGAAACTCAATTTGAAAAAAAATGGCGTTTATCGCGTTTTGGAACCAAACTCTTCATATGTACCTGTGACATGCTGTTGATTACAAAAGGCAATGATTTTAACATCCCTCCGTTTATAAAAATGAACAGCTCGCAGTGCAATAAACTGAAAGAAATCAGCATTTATCATACTTTTGTAAAAGTTCATCTATAACCAAAACATAGTAACTAGAGATTCCTTGAATGTCGCACATACAGTACTGTTCTTTGATTTCTTAAAGGGATAGTTCACCCAAAAATGAAAATTCTGTCATTAATTACGCACCCTCATGTCGTTCCAAACCCGTAAGACCTGATATTTTTGAAGGAATCTGAGAGCTCTCTGACCCTCCCATAGACAACAAGGATATTACCACGATAAACGCACAGAAACATAGCAAGGAGATCGGTAAAACAGTCCATGTGACATCAGGGGTTCAACTATAATTTTACGAAGCTACGAGAATACTTTTCGTGCACAAAGAAAACAATAATAACATAATTTATTCAACAATTCTTCTCCCCAATTTGCCGTCTTCCGCCATTTTGGAAAGTACCCCAGAATGTAATCAACGTAATGAGCGTTATTTACGTTCAGCATGCACACGCTTTATCCTGAACGTAAACAGCGCTGATTACGACAGTAACTCGAGGAGAAGGACTGCTGAGAAAATTATGTTATTATTGTTTTCTTTGCGCACAAAAAGTATTATCGTAGCTTCGTAAAATTATAGTTGAACCCCTGATGTCAAATGGACTGTTTTACCGATCTCCTTGCTATGTTTCTGTGCGTTTATCGTGGTAATATCCTTGTTGTCTATGGGAGGGTCAGAGAGCTTTCAGAAAACATCAAAAATATCTTAATTTGTGTTCGGAAGATGAACGAAGGTCTTATGGAGTTGTAACCACATGAGGGTGAGTAATTAATGACAGAATTTTCATTTTTGGGTGAACTATCCCTTTAAGCATTTGTCATATGTCTTGTTTTTCAGCGGCCTCCGATTGTTCCAGTTATTTCCGTCTGGGTGTGAATGGCGGGACCTATCAGCGGTGTGAGTTCACTACGCTGTGTTACGCTCCATCATGGGTCTGTGATGGCGCAAACGACTGTGGAGACTATTCAGATGAGAGAAACTGCCCAGGTGAGCACACGCATACTATACTTCAGCCGTGAGCTGCATTTCAGACCCTGTGAAACTGACGTCTTTCCTGGTCTTTTCCTTTTAAAGTAAAGAAACTAAAACCTTTTTTTTTTTCAATTAGGTATATGTACAGTAGACTTAAGAGATTATTTAAATGAACAAAACAGCCTTTAAACCTCTAAGCACTTCTCTCTTGTTTCTTTTCACTCATCAGATAAGAAAAAGAGAAAGTGTCCATCAAACTTCTTTGCTTGTCCCAACGGTCGCTGTATCCCTATGAGCTGGACCTGCGACAAGGAGAACGACTGTGAGAACGGAGACGACGAGGCGCACTGCGGTGAGTTTGTGTTTCTGTCATCGACTTCTGCTGTGGTTATACCGCCCCCTAGCAATACACTACCCCTTATTTTTGCCATTTTTTATTATTTTGACATTATTAATAAACATATGTGACCCTGGACCACAAAACCAGTCATAAGGGTCAATTTTTCAAAATTTAGATTTATACATCTGAAAGCTTAATAAGCTGATAAGCTTTCCATTGATGTATGGGTTGTTTTAAATACCCCAGCGACTTAAGACTGGTTTTGTGCTCCAGGGACACATATAGTATGTTTATTAGCACGTTTTCCTCATAGAAGTTTGGCTACTCCTTAAATTTGGTATTTAAAATGGGGACATACTGTGGATTTTATTGTTTTTATATAAAGCTGAATAAAATGGACTTATCCTAACCTACAACTTAAAAAAACTAACTAGGATTTTAAAAAAAGACATTTTTTAGGATTAAAAACATTTTTAATTTATAAATGGACAAACAGCAGGAAGTGATTAAAATTGCAATTGTATTAATTAAAAACAGCATCAAATAGTACATTTTAAAGTGTAAAGAATAGCGTGAATAAAGAATCACAGACAGTAGGAACATAGATTTAGACACAAGGAAAACGTCTCAGGTTACTTATGTAACCATGGTTCCCTGAGTAGGGAACGAGACACTGCGTCCTCTAGGGGTCGCTATGGGGAACGCCTCGTCGTGACCCGTGTCTGAAGCATACATTGAAAAAACACCAACTCGTTGGCCGGCGACAGCCATGACGTCACTACCGGTGCGACTATAGTATAAATAAGCGCCGGGAGCACACATCATTCACTTCTTCATCTGAAGCTTGCGTTCGAAGCATGGCAAGAAGCCTAGAGGACGCAGTGTCTCGTTCCCTACTCAGGGAACCATGGTTACATAAGTAACCTAAGACGTTTTCACCAACTTCATATTTCAATTTGACTAAGCTTAAATTTTATCCTAGTGTCGCACCGGTAGTGCCGTCATGGCTGTCGCCGGCCAACGAGTTGGTGCTTTTTCAATGTATGCTTCAGACACGGGTCACGACGAGGCGTTCCCCATAGTGACCCCTAGAGGACGCTGTTCGAAGTTCCCATGAAAGGGAACCAGAATCCAAATGCATGAAGTTTAATAATAATAAAAAAACAAAATACAGAAGCCAAGAAAACGGAACTATACTTAACTAACTCAACTACTATGTATGTATTCTTTTATTATATGCCTTGATAAGCTTTCTTTAAAGACGATATATAAAATACATTTTTGGTCACTCTTTAGTTTGGGGATCAATTCTGACTATGAAATAACTATTAACTACAACTTTTGCCACAATAAACTCCTAATTTGCATTTTTTAAAATATTTAGTAAGGCCATGTCCACACGTACATGGGTATTTTTATAAACTGAGTTTTTCCTTCTTCCGTTTTAAAAAAAATCTCCGTCCACATGAAAACGCAAAAGCATGCTATGAAGCACTGTCAAGAGCATGCCAAGCCAACAGGTGGCGATATAATCTCAACCGTGAAGCCATGTTGGCCAATCAGAAGCCTGAAAAAGTTTCCAGTAGGCGGAGATAACAGCGCATGCTCCGACGTCACAAGCCAAAAACTCCGGTTTCGCTGTCTACACGATAACACTGCAACCGGAGTTTTTGAAAATCTTCATCCTGGCAGGCGTTTTCAAAAATGTTTGGTTTCAGTGAACTGGTGCTGCATTTGCGTGTGGACGCACGGCCTAACCGCGTAGAAAAAGCTGCGGTTTTAAAAATAACCGCGTTCGTGTGGACAGGGCCTAAGATAGTTGTTGCGTTTATGGTATGGTATGGTGTAGGATTAAGGGATTTAAAATATGCTCATGCAGAATAAGACATTAATATCTGCTTTATAAGTACTAATAAACAGCAATTATGCTAGTAATATGCATGCTAATAATCAACAAGTTTATAGTGAGAACGGGTCCCTAAACAAAAGTGTTACCAAACTATTCTTTATTAATAGTAGTAGTAGTATTTTTAAACATAAACTGAACTAAATACAACTCAAGAGTAAACATGATGCAAGTCAACATTACAAAACAAAACTCTTTTTATGTATTCTGTGTCTTTGTGTTTTTTTTTCCGCATTTATAAACATTTCATTTTTCCATATTAGGTTTTGTCAGATATATATCGCTTAAATTTTGTTCCCAGCTTTGCACAGTTCATTTGAGGTCAGTCTTTGCAGAATGTTTGAAACGAGTTCTTTCTGTGAAGAATCTTTTGAATAATTTACTAACGGCTCACTTAATGATTCTCCTCAGATAAGTTCTGCTCGGCGACACAGTTTGAGTGCGGGAATCATCGCTGTATTTCCAACGGCTGGGTGTGTGACGGGGCAGACGACTGTGGAGACGGAACAGATGAGGACAGCAGATGCAGTGAGTGCTGATCCTTAAAACAGCATGAAATAGGACTTTTCAAAGTGTGACCAATAGCGTGACTGATGAATCAGAGAACAAGACCGCATCATAGATGAGAGTGATTTTTTCTCTGTGTTGCTGAATGGTGTGTGTTTTTAACTCAGAGAATAAGACGTGCAGTGCGGACGCGTTCCACTGTCCCGACTCACACAAGTGTGTCCCGCAGCGCTGGGTGTGTGACGGAGACAGAGACTGTCCAGACGGAGCCGACGAGAGCGTGAAGGCCGGCTGTGGTGAGCCATCACAAACATCATTCGCTTTGGTGCAAATACTGCGTGAATCACTCACGTTCGAGTGTACTGTTGTTTCTTTTTCACTCAGTGTTCAATAACACGTGTAAAGCGGGAGAGTTCATGTGCCAGAACAGACAGTGCATCCCCAAACACTTCGTGTGTGACCACGACAACGACTGCGGCGACGGCTCCGACGAGTCTCTGGAGTGCGGTGTGTTCCTGATTATATCAAACCAAGATGATTATCTCATAATTACCATCATTAATGAGATGAATTATGACTAATGATTTGTAAGATGTCAATACTTGACTCTCACTTGAGTTAAATCAAGGCCGTAGTCATACAAAACAAATGTAAGTACAGAACAATTAGAATTGTTCCGAGTATTTGTATACAGAAATTGTCTCTCTACTTGCACATGAATAAATGAGTTATCATTTGAAAATATTGCAAATTTACAATACAGTATATATTGATATGTTTACACTAGACATTCATATGGAAATGAATGCAGGAGAACGGAAATATAGGCACGTATGAATACATTTTATTTTATCACGTATTAAAAAGAAGCCCTAAACTGTGACGTCATATATTCCTGGTTATAAGAGAAAGGAAAACTTGAAATCGCATCATATGACCCCTTTAACAAAAACTATAATAGTCAAATCAAGTCAAATCACCTTTATTTATATAGTGCTTTATACAATCCAGATTGTGTCAATGCAGTTTTACAGTATTAAACAGGAAAAGAGTGTGACGATATTGCAAGAGGAAGACAGTAAACACTCAGGGAAGCTATTTTACTAATTTGGTAGCCATAACTACACAAGTGCATGTTTTTAATCATTTCGACTTCACTGTATTATTTGTGCTCATGGGTCTGTGTTTGTCTTTGCAGAGTATCCTGCATGCAAGGCCAATGAGTTCCGCTGTGATAACGGCCGCTGTCTGATCCAGAAATCCTGGGAGTGTGACGGAGAGTTCGACTGTCACGATCACTCAGACGAAGCTCCCAAAAATCCTCACTGCAACGGGCCTGGTATGAACTAAATGCTAATCCGGCTGGATATCTCTGGCCCCCTTCCAAATGACAAAGCTCACCATCTGTTCAACAGTCTGTGTGGCTTCATGCTACCAAAGTGTGAAGGAGCACTGAAAGAACTGAGAGCGTTTGGGATAAACTAGTGCTGAGTCACAGAACAATGCAGACAAACTGAAAAATCAGTATCTTTGAAAAGGCTTTGGTTACAGTAGAAACCTGCAGGGCCGGGCGAATCTGTGCATGCATTTAACGGTTCTCTCTCTTTTTCTTTCAAGCAGAAAAGAAATGTAATGACACGGCGTATGCATGTGGGAACGGTAAATGCATCAGTGAGACGTTACTGTGCAATCACGATGATGACTGTGGCGACGGTACAGATGAGCTGAACTGCTTCATTAATGAATGCCTGAACAGTAAACTGAGCGGCTGCTCTCAGCAGTGTGAGGACCTGAAGATCGGATTCAAGGTAAACATTTCTAGATCATGTTTCATGTTTTACAGCATACTTTTATTTATTTCATTGTTCTTTACTTTCACAATTCATCTTTTTGTAAATTTGCCCATTGCACTGCCAGTATTTTTTCTCTTTATTAGTATTTTGTTAATTTAACTCTTTCCCCACCTGCATTTGGAAAACAAAGAAAAGAAAAAAGCCAACACTAGCATTTTTGATCATTTTCACAAAACTTCACAGTCCCACTTGCTGGGTCGACATTTCATTGGGAAACATCAGGCAGTTTTGATTTATATGCTGTTTAATGTTTGATGATTGTGCTATTTCACATATGCATTTGCTTACTTTGCCTTATTTTGATCCCGAGATTCAGTACTCTTTCAGAAGATGAGTTATAGCGCGTCCAACCGTACAACAGTGAAAACAGGAAAATTCCACCAATGGCAGGGAAAGAGTTAAACATCCCTAATAAAACATAAATTGTTGCCTTGATGGATGTAAACTATGGTCATGCACAATATGTGCTTTATAAGTACTAATAAACAGCCAACATGTTAATAATAGTCATGCTAATAAACTAATAGTGAGAATTGGTCCCTATACTAAAGTGTTACTAAAGTGTGGGTACGAGACAAGGGTAAAACGATGAAGTCTACAAATAAAAAGCATTTATAAAGTAGCAAAAAGTGCAGTAAATAATATAAATCAATTTATAAATCAGCCAAAAGAGTGTATGAAGTAAAAGATGCATCCATTTGTGCCTTTGTTGGTTCCTTCATATAAATGCAATCAACACTGCGATCATAAAATGAACAGGTATCCCTCACACTGGCACAATCCGATGCTTACCGTTCTTGCGTGTTCCTCTCTCCAGTGCAGGTGCCACAATGGCTTTAGACTGAAGGATGATGGGAAGACGTGTGTAGATGTGGACGAGTGCTCCACCACGTATCCCTGCACACAGCACTGCATCAACACACACGGCAGCTTCCGCTGTGTGTGTGTGGACGGCTTCCAGCTCAGCCCCTCCGACCCCACCGTCTGCAAGTCCACCTCCGGTACGAGGCAGACGGCCAATCTGTCCAGGACATTTGTGACCGTGTTGCATTGTAGGACGGTTAAACTAGATACTTGGCTTGAGGGCCGCTTGTGAAAATACGAAAAGTACACTTTCCAAAGGAATTCAGCACTGGATTTGCCATTTGCAATGTAGATCAATCATTATAAAAGAAGCATTCGGATTTGAGTTACAAATAGTTCACTTTTTAAATAAGTGTCATGTTATGGTGTTTCTTTTTACTGTCATTGGTCTTCATTTCCTCTCGCTTCGTTGTATAGACGAGGAGCCATTCCTCATCTTTGCTAACCGGTATTACCTGAGGAAGCTCAGCTTGGACGGCTCAAACTACACACTTTTAAAGCAGGTATGATTTGACACCAGTTGTTCAAACATTTCGTTCCAGTTGTTTGCCTGGTTCCTCATGAATGCTGTTCATTCGCAGGGTCTGAACAATGCTGTTGCGTTGGACTTCGACTACAGGCAGCAGATGATCTATTGGACGGATGTGACGACTCAAGGCAGTATGATTCGACGCATGCACATCAACGGCAGCGACGTTCAGGTGATTTGCATGCAACTGCATTGTGTTTTGAATATTAAAGGGATAGTTCATCCCAAAATTAACTTTTGTTGAAAATGTACTCACCCTCAGGCCATCCAAGATGTACTCTAGATGAGTTTCTTTCTTCATGGGAACAGATTTGGATAAATGTAGCATTCCATCTCTTGCTCAGCAATGGATGCTCTGCAGTGAATGGGTGCCGTCAGAATGAGAGTCCAAACAGCTGATAAAAACACTACAATAATCCACAAGTAATCCACACCACTCCAGTCCATCAGTTAACATCTTGAGAAGACAAAATCTGTGTTTGCAAGAAAGTCCTCTATCCATAATATCGTAATCTCGCCTGAATCAGGAGAGAAATCTGCACAGATCAAGCACTGTTTACAAGCCAAAATGGTCCAAAACAGTCTAGGTGTGTGGTTTTTGATGTGAAAGACAACAGGAGATGGACTTTTTCACTGGAGGAAGTGTTGTTATGCATTATTGAGTCGTATTTTGGCCAAAATCAACAAATAAAAATAAAAAGTTAAAAAGCCAAGTAATGGTTTTGTTTCTTACAGACACGCAGCAGACGTTAACTGATTGTTATGATGATTTTATCAGCTGTTCGGACTCTCATACTCATTTAAAAACAAAATCTTTTCTGAAGCTGGACATTGGTTTGACTCTGCTGCAGGTTCTCCATCGCACGTCTCTCAGCAACCCTGATGGTCTGGCTGTTGATTGGGTCGGGGGTAACCTGTACTGGTGTGATAAGGGGCGGGACACTATTGAGGTGTCGAAGCTGAACGGAGCATACAGGACGGTGCTGGTCAACTCGGGACTAAGGGAACCCAGAGCCATAGCTGTGGACATCCGCAATGGGTAAACACTGAAAATGCCTTAATTGCTTTCTTTTTCCATTATTTTGTTCCCATCTTCCTGTTTGTGCTAATAAAGATCATAAAGTGTGAGTGTCTGTCTTTGTCAGGTACCTGTACTGGTCTGACTGGGGTGATAATCCTCATATCGGCCGCATTGGGATGGACGGCAGCAACAGAAGTGTGATCATACAGGACAAGATAACATGGCCCAACGGTCTCACTCTGGACTTCATCAATGATCGCATCTACTGGGCAGACGCCAGAGAGGACTACATCGAGTTTGCCAGCTTAGACGGATCCAACAGACATACAGGTGAAGACCAAAACTCAAATATAAGCTATTCTGTGAAGGGGTCACAAGTTATCAGAGCTGTATTTTTTTACTTATTTTTTTTGTATTCAGTACAGCAGCAGGACTGACTATAAACTGTAGTTAAGAGGATAGTATAAAATAACTTACACTTTAGCAATTTACCAATTTTAGCATATCTTCCATATGACTAGTTGAAAAATAAGCAAAGCAAGCTTTTCATGACTGGATAACTAATTGTTATACAATCATAAAATAAAAAAATATATACTAATGATTTTTAAGAAGTCTCTGATGCTTACCAAGACTTCACTTATTTGATAAAAATACAATATTAATAGTAATATTTTGAATTATTATTATAATTGACCTGTTTTCCATTTTAATATTTTTTTAAATATAATTTATTCCTGTGATCAAAGCTGTATTTTCAGCATAATTTCTCCAGTCTTCAGTGTCACACGATCCTTCAGAAATCATTCTAATATGCTGATTTGCTGAGAAAGAAACATTTCTGATTATTATCAATGTTGAAAACAGATGTGGTGCTTCATATTTTTTGTGGAAACTGTGATACATTTTCAGGATTTTTTGGATGAATAGAAAGTTCAAAAGACCAAAATTAGTTTGAAATATAAATAGTTTTTAACATTATAAATGTCTTAACTGTGATTTTTGCTGATTTTAATGCATCATTGCTTAATTCTCACTTACCCCAAACTTTTGAACAGTAGTATATAAAATAATTAGTGCTGTCAAACGATTAATCGCATCCCAAATTAGCAGTACACATACATATATTATGTAAACAAAAACTTTTATTTGGGATGCGATTAATCGTGATTAATCGTTTGACAGCACTAAAAATAATATATTATGTGATAATATAAAGTATTTTAATTCTAAAGTCTGAATTAAAATAATAATTGTAAAATTCCTACAAAGTGCTTCAGTGAACTTTTAATGTGCTTCTGAGGAGAATATTTTATCTTCGATTATGCAAGGTCGCTGTGTGATGTTTGTGTAGTAAATAATCCCTGTGTTTGTGCTGCAGTTTTGACTCAGGACATCCCGCACATATTCGCCATGACTCTTTTTGAGGAGTACATCTACTGGACCGACTGGGAGACCAAGTCTATCAACAGAGCTCATAAAACACTGGGCACCAACAAGACCATGCTGATCAGCACCTTACACAGACCCATGGACGTCCACATCTACCACCCCTGCAGACAGCCAGAGGGTCAGGACACCACTGTCAAAGACACACTTCACTTACTGAGGCCAGCTTAGATTATCTTTTTTTTTATGCCTTGATGTTATAGGTAATTAATGACAGAATTTTCATTGTTGGGTGAACTAACCCTTTAAACCCAGTCTAAATCAGAATGACACGTACCACATGTTCCTCCACATCTCTCATCAGTTTGTCTGCAAGAACGACAAGTGTATCCCTTTCTGGTGGAAGTGTGACACCGAGGATGACTGTGGCGACCGATCCGACGAGCCTGCCGACTGCCGTGAGTGATGTGGATTGTAGGAGACACATTTTCTCCCTGTAGCAGTTTTATGCCTTGATGTTATACGTTTAATGTAGCGCTTTCTTGTCTCCCGCTGTAGTCACAAATCACCCGTGCCAGACAGACAATGGCGGCTGCAGTAACTTGTGTCTGCTCTCTCCGGGCGGAGGTTATAAATGTGCCTGTCCCACGAACTTCTACCTGGCCGCTGATGGGAAGCAGTGCATGTCCAACTGCACCGCCAGCCAGGTGAGCGCGTGATACTTGACCCAGATCATGACCTTAGACTTAAAGGGATAGTTCACCCAAAACGAAAATTCTGTCATTAATTACTCACCCTCGTGTCGTTCCAAACCCGTAAGACCTTCGTTCACCTTCGGAACACAATTTAAGATATTTTTGATTAAATCTGAGGGCTCTCTGACCCTCCCATAGACAGC